CTACCCAGAGAGCCCTTGCAGCAGCGCATTTGCAGAAGCGGTCACTGGCGCCACCACGGGTTCCCTGAACCTTGTGGAGTCGTCGTCTGGGGCAACCCCTCCTGAGGAGTACGAGACGCAAACATTCAGGTGGGGCCCAGAGGGGCATACAGTAGGGTGCGAGGGCGTGCTTGAGCACTGGAGGATTCGTGATTGGAACCATGACTACCCGAATCGCAGAATCGGCGGCGCATACACTTACTTCTGGCAGAAAATGCGTGAGTGGCTGTGGGACAATTCTGGCTACTTTCCCAGCGGCTGTTCTCTGGAAGACCGTTACAAGCCAAGCCGTGCAAATAGCTGCGTGGAAGGCACCACAGCCTCACATTGCGCAGAGCAGAAGGACGTGGATTGGTGTGGCAGGTTTGTGTGGCAGGCCCAAGGTGTAAACATATCATGCGGAGCGATCAACATTGCGGCTTACGGCTCATGTGAATGGGCGCAATACGCACCAGGCGGGCAGGATTGCTGCTCGAACACAATCATGCCCACAATGGCGTCAGCGACGACCTCGCCAACAACCTCGCCGGCATCGCCCTTGCAAACGCCCTCGCCAACACCCTCGCCAACGCCCTCGGCCCCCGCGCTCTGCGCCCTCCCCGATGTGCTCAACCCGTCGGCATTGGCCGGTCACACTTGTCTGGTCGACGGCGTGTCAAACGGCCTCGACTCCAACTGGGGCGGGGCGAGCACGCAGTGCAGCAGCGATGGGGGCTCATGGGTCGAATATTCTTGCCAGTCGGCTTCGGACTACTACGCGGCCCTGCCGGCAGACCACGAACATCTCACGAGCTTTCAGGACGCCTGGGTGCCCAAGTGCTGCGGGGCGCCCTCGCCAACGCCCTCGACCACTAAGCTCTGCGCCCTTCCTGATGTGCTCAGCCCGCAGGCAGTGGCCGGCTACTCTTGCCTCGTCGACGGCGTTTCGAATGACCTCGACTCCAATTGGGGCGCAACAGGCACGCAGTGCAGCAGTGCCGGTGGTTCATGGACTGCGTATTCTTGCCAGACGGTTTCGGACTACTACGCGGCCTTGCCGGCAGACTACGAACATCTTGCGAGCTTTCAGAATGCCTGGGAGCCCAAGTGCTGCGCGGCCAATCCGACGGCCAGCCCGACGGTCACACCGACGGCCACTCAGACGGCCAGTCCGACGGGCACACCGACGGCCAACCCGACGGCCAACCCGACGCTCACACCGATGGCCAATCCGACGGCCAGCCCGACGGTCACACCGACGGCCAACCCGACGGCCACTCCGACGGCCTCCCCGACGGCCAACCCGACGGCCACTCCGACGGGCACTCCGACGGCCAGTCCGACGGCCACTCCGACGTCCTCTCCAACGGCCAACCCGACTGCCACTCCGACGGCCTCCCCGACAGCAGACCCGACGGCCAGTCCGACGGGCACACCGACGGCCAGCCCGACGGCCACTCCGACGTCCTCTCCAACGGCCAACCCGACTGCCACTCCGACGGCCTCCCCGACAGCAGACCCGACGGCCAGTCCGACGGGCACACCGACGGCCAACCCGATGGCCACTCCGACGGCCTCCCCGACGGCCAACCCGACGGCCACCCCGACGAGCACGCCGATGGCCAACCCGACGGCCACTCCGACGGACATACCGACGGCCAACCCGACGGCCAGTCCGACGGTAACGCCGATGGCCAACCCGACGGCCACTCCGACGGGCATCCCGACACAAGCCTCTGGCGCGTTCAGATCACGGCCTTTTTCATCACTCGTGTTCCCCCTCGGCTTTCTGCTTTTAGTCACTGGCTCGCGAACACAGACGACGCGGACGTGACGACCCACTTTGACGTGGGGGAGGAGGACATCGATGGCGCCGAGGACGTCCTCGCTTCTCGGGCGACCAGCTCAGGTTCGAGGTTCGAGGTTTTCGGGCGTTTACGATTGTTTTCGGCGGCTTTCCAGGCTCGGGATGCTCTCCAGCGGCTGCGCCTCGCCGAAAGCTTTCTGGGGCTGCCTGGATCATCCCGAACGGCCGCCAGAGAGCCGAGTTGTGTCCCGAAAGCCTGGGGGCAACGTGATGACCAGCCACGTCTGCTTAGCGTGTCGGGCCGCCGGTCCTGGCCCACCACGCTTCGGCGCGACACGCTGACCCCGTGTCCTTCAGTCCTCTTCCCCCCGCCTCTGCTCGCTTGCCTGCTCCAGGTGTGCCCGGCGCATTTTCCCATTCAGTCTCCCGGCCTCGTCACCTGGCTTGCTGATTACTTTGGCCGCCAGCCTCAGAGGCGTAGCCCCTTGCCGATAGCACGCCGTGCTGGACCGAAGTGCGACCCCCTTCGGTCCGTCGGGAGGTCATGCCGATACCATCGGGGGGAAGACCCAGGTATGAGGCCGCCTCCGTGGCATTTCTTCGGCGGGCCACGGGTCCTGTCACCCCAGATTATCATCCCTCTTCCTTAGGGGGGTCAGACTTACTCTTGCTACAAAAAAGAAAGACATCTACCAGTCAGAGCTCTCTCTCTTTCTCTCCCTCTTTCCCTCTCTCTCCCTCTCCTTCTCCCGCTCTCTTTCTCCCTCTCTCCCTCTCTCTCTCTCTCCCTTTCCTTCTCTCTCGCTCTCTCCCTCTCTCTCGCTCTCTCCTTTGCTGCTTCTCTATCTTTCTCTCTTTCTCTGTTTCTCTCTTTCTCTCTCTCTCTATCGTCTCTCTCTCTCTCTCTCTTTCTCTGCCTCGCTCTCGCTGCATCGCTTTAATTTGGCGGGCGTGGTGTCGCAGGCCCGGGTGCCCCCGATCTTTCCGTGCGATTCATCAAAAGAAACACGAAGGGGGACACGTGCACCCACTTGACCACGCGGGCCGTCTGCACGCTCTGTCTCAAGCCAGCCCTCCGTCCGTCGCCATTCCTCTGTCCGTCCGCCTGCCTATCTGCACATTCCCCTAAACATAAGCGTTTTGCCCGAGACATCCTCGAACAATTGGATGTTGAAGGAGTTGGTTTAAGACGTCTTGTGTTCACAACGAGGCCCTCGCTCTAGACATCCTCGGAAAGTCGAGATGCTGACGTGGGTAGCGAAAGTGTCAGAGTATTAGGAATTATCCGGTTCGTCTGAGACATTTTCCCAACATTGAGATGTTGAACGAGTTGTTTCGAGACGCTTCATGGTGAAGCTAAGGCTCCCGCTCGAGACACCCTTGAAGAAATCAGATGCTGAGATCGGTAGCAAAATCGCTTGTAGACTCAGAAATGTCAGTTTCACTGAGACATCGTCTAACACATTAGACATTGAAAGAGTTGTCTTTGGACGTTCGATGTCAACAACTAAGCTATCGCGCGAGACATCATCGGGACATGGACATGCTGACATCGGCAGCGAAATCGCTCGAATACTCAGAAATTGCAGTTTCACTTGAGGCATTCTCCGAACAATGGAATGTTGCAAGAGTTGGTCTAAGACGTCTTGGTTTAGAAATGAAGCTTTTGCTCAAGACCTCAGGTATCAAATTAAACATGGTGAATGTGTGTGTGTGGTGTGTGTGAATGTGACATATCTTCAAGCATGGGGCTCTTGCTCGAGACATCCTCGAGTCATCGAATGCTGAGGGGACCTTTGACCAACCGAAACGGCTGTCTCGCTCGAGACATTCTTCGACATATCGATATCAGAGGGAACTTTGAGTCAACATCGTCATGCAATCGCTTTCGGGTGGCATCAAAACGTCCCTTTTTGACCCCCAAAGACGTTTCCACCAGCAGCAGCTCTATCCGCAGTTCAGCGACACAAGGCCGCAGCAAAGGTATTCAGATTGCAGTTTCCACCGATACCTACACCATAGGGTGGCAGCAAACCTGCCCACATGTTAACTGCCGTGGGCAGCAAACGTACCCACAGTTCAACGGCAGAATGGCCGTATTAAGCGTGACCGCATTTAAACAACCACAAGCCGCTACCCCACGGATGGTAGCAGACTTGCCAACATGTTATTTATCAACGGCAGAAGGGCCGCAGCAAACCTTCTGTCGTTGAACTGTGGGTATTTCCGTTTGCTGACGCTTCGCGTATCCTCACCAGCGGTGCACGCCACCCGCCCCCGACGAGTACACTCTCACCAACGAGTTCACTCCCAACCGTGCCCTCACCGCCCCCCCGGTCCCGCCCAGCCAGAGCGAAGGCGTCTCCAAGGGAGGCACCTCGGACGCACCTTCCTCCCATTCAATGTCGGACAAAGCAACCCATGACAGGCCATCCCTGCCTTTCACTGCCCCTGCCTTGTTTCACCCGCCTCTCTCCCGCTGCCTTTTGGGCTCAAGCCTGGCCAGGCTTAGCGCCCGCATACGCCTAACAACACCGCATACCGCATACATCGCTCTCGTAAAATAGAGCGCACATCCCCCATCTTTCATTCCTAAGTTGTTACTCTAGTTGGTAGCGGAGCTTCGGAACCTTTCCACGATGTTCCATTCATTTCGCGTCATCTCGATGAAGACGTTCTCCCACTCCGTCAACATGAACCTTGTGTTCTTCTGCATATCGAGCAGCATGCCCATCAGCATAGCGTTGTACCTTTGCTCCCCGCGCGGCGCGGCAGGAAACCCGATCCCTCCGCAGGAACCCGGCGATCCGGGAGCACGGGAGCAGGCGCGACCATCCTGTACATGTACGACCACCAAAAGATCTACGACGGCACCCAGCAGGACGGCGCCGGGGAGGGGGGGCGGGGGCGCGAGCTTGTTTTGGATGTCTCAATGAGCCCAGTGCGCGGCGCCGCGACCGCCCCGTGCGATCACTCCATGAGTGTCTCGTGCATACCGAGGGGGCCAGATGTCGCAGGCAACCCCAGAGTCTCGGATGTCGTGGTCTCCGCCTGTGGAGATTGCTGGTGACGTCAGTCTTGCGATTTACTCCGAGCCCGCGCTATCAGTGTCAGAATAGAGTTCATGGGGTACGCCTACGACTGCGACTGCGCGGACGGCTACTCCGAGCACGCCTGCGGCCACGAAGACTACGCCTTCGGCTACAATGTCTTCGCCTGCGGCTTTGTCTGCGCCTACAACTTCGTCTACGCCTACGGCTATGGCGACGGCTCCTACGGCGACTTGGGATGTGCGCGGCGCCAGTGGTCCGCAGAGTTGGAGGACCGCCAATCCCAAGCTGCGTGGCGCTGCCCAGGCCCAAAGAGAAGGACGCTCCATGAGCACCCTCCTCGACAAGGCCAAGCCTGGGACAGTCATCCAGCACCGCAACTGGCCGGGGCCCGAGCCCTTCGTCAAGTTCAGCGCCCAGCGCCAGCCGCAGTGCAATAATGCGGAGACGATCGCTCGTGGCGTGAATCTCCCGTGTCGCTGGCGCGACGACCCTTCGGCGAACCGCAATCCCGAGGGGGCCGACGAAGCAGAGCATGCCAGGGGTCACTATCCGCGTCGACTCCGAGGCAGCCTGCCGGAGCATCGACGGTGGTAGATCCCGGGCTCCGAAGCTATGGGGATGCTGCTGAGAGGCCTCAGCCACAAGTGGGCGCAGCTCATGGCTGGGGCCCTGCTTGCCATCTCCTGCCTATCCTGCGTGGATGCAGGCGGGGGTGGCGGCGGCGACATCCGTCACCTCCGGACCTGGGGGCCCGAGCATCAGGCTGGCGTGCCCTTCAGTCGATGGGTTCGGGAGGTGATGATCTGGTCTGTCGCGAATTCCGACATGAACGAGTTCCGGCAGGCGGCCAACGTCTCGTCGCGCCTCGCCGGCATGGCGCGCGAATGCGTCGACGAGTGGCCGCCCCAGATCCTCATCCAGGGAGGCGTCATCGACTGGCAGCCGGTGCCGCCGATGACCTTCCTGATGCACGGCTTGGCCGAGCGCTGGGGCCAGCTAGCGGGGGGGGAACGCACCGCCGCAGCGCAGACTCTCATGGGTTTCCGCCGCCCACCCGGGGAGCGCATCGACGACCTCTTCGCGCGGTTCGACACCGTCCGCAACCGCGCGCGGCAGGCCGGTCAGCTGACGGTCGGTTTCGAGGGGCTCAGCTTCTTGCTCCTCCGCGCGTGCGGCGTTGCAGTCAGTTGCTCATGATCCTCCGGCGCTGCAACGTGGCCTACCCCTCCAACGCGCAGCAGATGCAGCACATGACCAATCAGCTGCGCCGCATCGGCCATAATTATGGTGGAGAACTCGCCCGGGAACCTCTCCCAGGCAGTTCGTGCCAGAGGAGCCAGACGTTCCTGGCCACTCTTTCGCCGAATGACCTAAGCAGATTCCATGATCATGCTGGCGGTCTGAGCCTGGGTCACCAAGGACGTCCGGCCATGGGTTCAGTCAGCCCTCCCGAGCCCAGTGGGGGCCGCAGCCATGCCGAAGCTCCCCGCCAGCGGGAGGCCTACCCAGCCTGGAGTCGACTCCGGCACCGACTCGGACACAGCGTCGAGCTTCGGCGAGGAGATCAGGGAGGACGACCCCGAGCTCCAAGGCGCTCCCGAAGACCAGCGCGCGGCTCACCTCGTCTGGGCCTACGAGCGCGCCAAGAGCAGGTGGCGTCGGTTCAACAACTACAAGCCGACCCGCCGAGTGCGCCGAGTCCTCGATCGCAGTGGGAAGGGTAAAGGCCGCGGCAAGGGCCACGCCTGCCTCGCGCACCTGGACGACGCCACGGTCCGGGAGACCTTTGCGGGCTTCGGGAAGGCAAAGGTAAAGGAAAGGGGAAGCATCGGACCAGCGGCATGGGCATGGGCAGGTCTGGAAACCCCATGGGTCCAGACGGGCAGCGCCTCAAGTGCCACGAGTGCGACTCGGAGGAACACCTCGTGCGCGACTGCCCTCGGCGACGCCAGCATGGCAGCCGGGCCCTCTACCTTAACACCTACCTCCCTTCATCGTCCCCTACATCATCTACGTCACCATTGACCTTTCTTGGGCAATCAGGCCCTCCTGAGCCATCAGCGCAGATGCCCAGGACGAGTGCTCACCAGGTGTGGATGGTCAGGGACACCGCGGTAGGAGCAACCAACGAGCATGTCGGCGACTCTCCTGGCCAAAGTAATCCATTGCAGGGTGCTGGTCCGTGGAACGGAGGCCGGCCGACGCCGATGACCGCCTCCCGCAGACCACAGACGCCATGGTCTGACGGCTTCTGGCGCTCGTAGCTGGGCTGCCCGCGGTGGCGGCAACATTCGCAGGTGGACTTGCTCCATGCAGGGCGGGGGACCTCGTGGTACCGGCTGGAGGCTGGTGGCGTCCCTTGGGCGGGGGGAGCAGCCTCTCCTCGGGGATGCCTGCCTCGGGGTCGGTGCAGGGCTGGAGTCCTGCTGCCTGCAGCAGGCATGCCCAGGTGGCGGTGTAGACGTAGTTGGTGGGGTCCAGCCCAGGCTCGCTGTCGAATAGGTAGCCGTCGTGGCTCACCATTTTGAGACACTGCTCGAATGGGTCCCTAGGTGCGTCGCCGGGACAGTGCAGGTGTGGGTGCAGGCTGAGGACGTAGTAGAGAATTGTGGCTAAGTCAGG